GTCCACACACCACCTACTGTATAAAAATAGCACTTTACCTCTGCTTACACCTATATGCCGTGAGCTGATTATCGAGCCTTCATTGTAACTGTCACACTGTGTATTTGCGTGGGGATTGTTGCAGTAGAAGATTCCACTGTAGCGACCGGTACCTTAATGGGAAACCCTAAATGTTTGAGCACCCTCTATGAAACGTCAAGCTACCCCACAGCACCCCCAAAAGAAAAACTCTGCACCGCCACTGAGCCTGCAACCCCGTTTTGAAGAAATGTGCAGTGCAAAACAGGCTCATTGCAGCCACTAATGATAAGACACTCTTTTTTGCCAAATATCAGCATTTTCTTTCTTTTCATTTTTTTGCACAGATTGCAAAGTGGCAAAGTATTATAACTTATTGTTCTAGCAAAGGGATTGCACAATTGTATTATGTATTTATTTTTTTGACCACACAGACTTATGGAGCATTGTTTTATTATCACTGTTCTAGCAAAGTGATTTTTTTATTTTTTTGAAAGGAATGCTCACGTTCATATTGATGTATTTTAATAAATGTTAACTTGGCCCATTACGTGACTATTTGTGTTCAGCCTGACAGAAAAAGTTTGAGAATCACTGTCTTAATGGTAGCTTTGGGTGTATATAACATACATTTTAAAAATTTAGCCTAAATTGGCCACTATATTGGTAACTGTTGCTGGAGCGCACCCAGTGATACTGTTGCTATCTCTGTGTGTGTATATATATTGCCTTATTTGAGACAAATATACCTGCTCTTTTATTGTTGTTCTTAGTTTATATCTTTATTGTTTATTGCACTAATTCTAAGTTGCTTTGGATAAAAGCTTCAGCTAAATGTAATGTTATAAGGTAAGGTAATGTGATATATCATCTTACAACAGTTGCCTTGAATGTCCTGTGCTTGCTTACTGTAACATTGACTGTGAAGCCAGATATGGATTACTGGATATACTGCATTAGATTGGTTTTCATAGCCGTTGCTGTTTTGCTTGTTTTATATTGTACCGAATTCTGTTTGAACTTGCTTTCATACTAGACTCTCACTCTGTTAATATAACAGTTGGATGGGCCAGGTCTTGGTGCCAAGTGTTAGGGTTTGCTATGTTTTGCAGGTTTGTATTTGGTAATGCTACCTATGCCCTCTTGCCTTTTTTACTTTTGTTACATAAAAAGTTTTTAACTTTAGGCTCACTAGAAATACAACTTTATTTCGGTCACATATAATTTTTCAACCAAAAACGAAAAGCATTGACGCATAATTAATAAGCCATCAATAACTTTTGACAAGTTTCAAATATCTGGCCGAGCAGGATCACACACAAAGTAAAATTATTCACAAAACAAGGACTCTTTACTCAAAAAAAAAAAGATCACAAAATTGGCCTTTTGCCCGGAACACATTTGTCTTTTCATGGCAGGATAAACAAATGTTTTGATAACATTTAAGAATAGAATTCAGCCACCAGTGATCAACAATGAGTTTTTAGCTGTGCCCTTCCTACACAGTAAATTTCTCTGAGTAAAATTGACTCAAATTGAAGAAAATTTTACTCTAAAAATATAACATTTGGTCCCAACCTATATAGAGTAAAATGTACTCTTTGTTCAGAGTTGTATTTTTAGAGTTCATTTTACTCTATTATGTGCTTAGATTTGACTCTGCTTAATGGTTATTTACTCTATGTAGTGTATATTAAAAACAACTCTACTGCCATTTTACTCATAATAGAAGGTAATTTTACTCCCAATAGAAGGTCATTTTACTCAGAATAGAATAAATGAACCATAATGATCTTTACAATAAAAAAGGTCAATAAACCAAAGTGCTTAAGGAACATGAGTGGGCGTGTGTGAAGCTGACCATTGAGCGGCCCGACCAAGCAAGGAGGCAGAGAGTTCAAATACAACCCGGTGTGGGCATTTATTCCTCTTTGTGGTACAGGATACACAGCCTCAATATGACTGTCTCACGTGAACACAGTCACCAGCCACCAGGACCTCACACACACACTAACAGGAAAACAGAACCTAAATACACACAGGACTAATCAAACCAACAAGACACAGGTGAGGAGGGAGGAGAAACACAGGGCACTAGGTGAACGCAATCACCAGCAACAGACAAGACGGGAGGGGGAACACTTTTCAAACTAAAACAGGAAACAGAGACAGACAAACTAAAACATAGACAGATTGTGACAAATATATGCATAAATGACATATAATCACATGCTTCCTGTGCAATGTTTTAGCGTGGAACAAATGATTATACTTCGCCAATAATGAAGCTATATAATCCGTAACGGAGACCGAGATCAATGGCCCCAGAGATCACCTCCGTTACAGCGTGGTCATGGTTTAACTCCAATAGAATTGACTGCATTTTTGATCGCACTCTAGAAGCTATGAGTAATAAATACACTCCAAAATGATTAAATATCACTATTTCAGAGCAAAATAGTAATTACTCTGGAAAAAATACTGACCAATATTTCCTGTGTACTGTGGCACAACGCAATTACGTTTTTGCCAAAAACCCTCTTTCAAACAAGCACACTGAGGCACGACAGGAGTTAACAATCAACTTCACACCTGCAAAACCAAACAAGCAAGTCAATATGTATTTGTGAAAATGACTCAGTCCAGCTTCATGTTGAGTGCTGGAATTGAACAACTGTGCAGGCAGCCAATCGCACACGTTACCAGCATAGTGCACAAAACTACAATAAAAGAGCATATCACACAGAGCAATATTTTAAAGTAGAATAGCAATAAATCAGTGTAATAATAATCTTACCTAACCCGTAACAACTGTTTTTTGTTTGCCTATTTGATGCAGGAACAAGGTCATTACATATCCAACAGCTCAGGAGCAACATTGGTGCTGATTTGGATTATGTCCCTGGCACCCTGATGAATGCAAGTCATGTGTGCAAATATTCACCCTTTGTTTGCCAGTTTGTTTGGTTGTCAAAGATACCTCAGAATATATGTTTTTTTTCCTACTGGCTAGATACACCTTTACCAGCTAGTTGCCAACTAGTTTGGTCTGTTCCTTGGTGCTGGCCAGTTAGCAAAAGTAGAAACGATGCTATCAAGCTCTGTCCTGTAAAATATGTGCGTTCATGTGATCCCATGTTAATATACAAAATGCTCTACATTGCAGCATTAAGTCGAAAGTCATTTGTGTTGGATAGAAAAAGTGTATATAATATAGCCATGCTTTTTTTATAGGCTGATCATAATGTTTTGTATGTCAACATATTGTATAACAAAAAATGTAAGTAGGTGTGGAAAGTAAACATACTTCAAAATGTATCAAATCTGAAAAATAAGCAATGTGCCCATTTAGTTCCATACACTTGCGCAAATCCACACAGTGATAAATGATGAATGCCAAATAACACAGTCGCATTAATAATGACTACCGGTATCTTTAGTAAAACATAATAATCACATGTAGACAGTAATAGTGTGCATAATGAGTGAATCATAATTAATATTTTTTTCAATTATTTTGTTGTTACTGCAGAGCTTCTTCTAAAGTGCACACACTGGCATTATTATAGCGTAATAAAAAAACAAGTCTTTATATTATTGCTGAACATTAAAGTTTATTGTGTAAAAAATGTTAATAAATAAACTAGCAGAATTGTTCTCAACCCTGTCAGTCACAGTGATGGATTATGATTAATTACACTGCAACCCCTGCTGGGGCGCCACTCTGATAGACTGAAACGTGGTTCTCCAGACTCCGATAGCTGGCTGAGCCAAGCCGTAGACGCGAGAAGAAAACCAATCACACCCTCCCTGTTGTTGCTCAACGCCCAAGTAAAATAGGCTGCTACGGCTGGTTACAGAAATGCAGAAAAACATCCGCATGTTGGAAGAAGCTGCAAAAGTCCCCCTTTAATACTTGACTAATTCTGTGCAGTGTATGGCCCAGTCATTTGTCATACATTACAGTGATGATGTGACAGGCCATGGCCCGGGCCAATACGTCATCATAAAAGCCATTCAGTGAGAGGCTGATGGCAAAGCAGCACACAGGGGGAACTTCTCCATCTGCTAATAAAGTGCACATCCTGTGGTCTTGGAATGGTGTGTGTGTGTGTGTGTGTGTGTGTGTGTGTGTGTGTGTGTGTGTGTGTGTGTGTGTGTGTGTGTGTGTGTGTGTGTGTGTGTGTGTGTGTGTGTGTGTGTGTGTGTGTGTGTGTGTGTGTGTGTGTGTGTGTGTGTGTGTGTGTGTGTGTGTGTGTGTGTGTGTGTGTGTGTGTGTGTGTGTGTGTGTGTGTGTGTGTGTGTGTGTGTGTGTGTGGTTATAGTAATGATCCTCCAGTGGCGAGGGAGTCTTAAATCGTGCTCTTTCAGAAGATAGACTGGCATCTGGGCTTTAGCCAACACACACACACACACACACACACACACACACACACACACACACACACACACACTGGGGGAAGCATGTCCCCCTGCGTGTGCACACCCGATGTGATATTAGCCAGTATATCAAAATGTAACTTCTGCCTTAAAGAGCTCTAAGGCACTGCACATGTTCCTCTGCCATCCCGCTGAAGGAACAGACCTCTCCCATTTCCCCAGAATGCCAGTGTGTGTTAAATGTTAAGTGTAGTCTCTGTGCAACCCTCCAGGGCGTGTTCCACCTATGAAAGAGGGCATAAAGACGGGGAGAAAAGTAACATGTCGCACTGTGGGGGAGGCTGGTACTGCTTTGTGTCTCCCTGTGGGCTGAGACGGGACATCTAAATGTGTATAAATAAGCAGCATCATCTACAGATTGGGATTTATAGCCTGGGAGCTCAAAGTTTTTTGCGGAAGGAATTGGGACACTGTGTGTATTCGTGTGTGTGGAGGAGAGAGAGAGAGCATATGGAAACATTGTAACTCAAGGGGGGCAAGCAGCAGCGTTTTCTTCCATGGATTGAAGGGAGGAAATCCTCTTCTTGTTCTTGCGTCGCCTGCATGCAAATGTGGCCGGCTGGGGCAGAATGAGGCTGGGTTAAAACACTCACATCAGCATCCGACACTTGACTTTGCGAGGAGGGAGAGCTCTTTCTGGCAAATCTGAGGTGCAAGGCACTGTCCATCTTTGCAGATCATTCTCAAAGGCTCATACAGGTGACAAGTGTGACCAACTTCACTGCATTGACGCGCGCATATTGTCCATAGGCAGTGCGTAAACGCGCCAATCTTTTGACATTTCACCTGCAGTGTTGTGGTCGCATGTGACGCACCGACGCCTTCAGCTTTTTTTAGCCATATTTTTGGATAAAGGAGTGTTGCGTTTTTCGGACAAGTTTCTGCGCTGATTGCTATGTTCGTCATGTCCGCCTGGGTGAACTTGCGCGTTTTCTCCGTAGAGTCACACAGAGCCGCGCTGTGTGCAGAAGTTGGTTGGGAATCATCATAACAACAGTGCGGGGAGCAGAGGAGGGAAAAGGAAGGGACAGCGGTGTAGAGGGGATGATGAGAGGCTGAATTTATTTTTTAAGGTTCACTACCAGCTTCATCAGCATGAGGATCAAAACTGCGGAGGACTGCTGCTCTCCATCTACATAGTAACAGTTTTTGCAGAAGCCTGCCAGTGAGTCCTGCAACCACAGCTGCGTAAACTTGGCCAGATCTGGTGACATTGTACCCTCTGCGTGTGTGTGAGTGCGTGCCTGGATGGATATGCAGCTCACCGAGGGAATTTGAAAAGCACGGGGGGATTACTATCAGTCGCTCTCCCTATTATAACCTCAAAATGGATGCCGATTACAGGCTGTGGAGACGCCACTGGATTAGCCACTCTCCCGCTGATCTGCTTGACATCTGAGCGCCACGAGCTTTCAAAGTTTGGATAATCTACAAAAAAGGAAAAGGGGAAAGGGCTGAAGGTGTAGGATGCAGTCTGGGGCGAAGACACTCTCCGCAGGTGGAGGTGCGTCACTGTGCTGCCTGCTGCTCCTGTGGCTCATCTACTCCCATCTGCTCAGAGAGGGTAAGGACACTTCTGGCTGTGTGTCACTTTTGTCAGCATTGTCTCAGCGCTTCTTATTGGGATGCACATGGTGTGATCCCGTAATAAAACAGTCCCTATAATGTCCCATAAAACCCCCCTGCAGACTTGTAATGTGCCTCTGCTCATCTCCAGTCAATTCATGGTGACCTTGTTGTAAGGTATTATTTTCTAATCTGATTTCTATAATAATAGTCCTATACTAAGTGTATGATACTGGACAGCCAGTGTCTAGTGACATTACTGAACTTACTACAGTCTTTATTTCATATGGTAGCACTATAGGAGCGTTTAATGTATTGCAATGATCATATTCTCACAATAACATACAATATAACCTTGTTGATAAACTAACCTCATGGTTTTCCTTATTCTGATGTAGTCTCTCTGCACCCTTGTGAATTGACAATTTAGTGAAGCCATAATTAAGCTCCGGGTGAAAAAGAGACACATTGTCTGCTTGTTTTAATTCCCAGTGAAGGCCTGACTTCTGCCTTCTAAAGCTTTTATAATTTCACTCAGGTTAAGGCTATATCCATCCCTGCCATGCTTTCCTCTTGAATAATACATCTGCTGGTGCAATTACACCTTCACCCTGACACAAAATAGAAAGCAAAAGGATGTCATCCACGCACTCCATTGGCTGCTGTCCATGACAAAACATTTTGGATCCCAACGACACAGAGCGGGCTTAAAGCATGGGAACTTGTTGGGAGATGTTGAACACTAAATTTGCAGATTAGATCTTTTAATCAAGCATTGGCCAGCAGCATAATTACCGCTGTGGAGGAGGGATAGTGCCTACATAAATGTCTTTGGCAGCTTGCCGGGAACAAAAGTAGACACTGATGTGAAAAATGAACTGCCTGTACACTGAAATGTGCTCCCTTTGCCTCTAATTTGGAGTGTTTTCTCTCTAAAAGCTGTTTTCACCAGCCTCTTATTGCCGCCTCTGAAGCTTCTGTATATTATCTGAGGAGTTACAGCCATCCTCCTCTTCCCCTCAGCCATTTATCATTGACTCAATTTCATCTGAAAATGATCTCATTACAGTGTTATTGTACACAATTGTTCAATCAATCTCTTGTGAACTTTACTCCCCTTGAAATTCTTCCAGTAAATAGATCCTGGTGGATTTGGCCTAGTTAAAACCTCTAGATGTGAATTGAGCTTTGGCAGTCTTTGTATGTTGATCACTCGTTTTTCCAGCTCTGAGCTGAATTTTAAGAATGAATCCTCATTTGAAACTGGCAGCTGTGACTTGTCAGTGCTGTTGTTAGAGTATTTCTGACCACCACTGCTCTTTATCGTTTCATCAGCTACCTTACAGTATTATTTGACTGCTCACCACTGATGGAGTCAAAGTACTCACTTTGCATGACCATCTTCCTACCACTTGCACCCCGATGGCCCCTGACGGCCCCCTGGCGGCCCTTAAGCCTTGGCGGCCCGTAAGCCTTGACGAGTGTGGTTAAAGTGGTGGGCAGAGAGGTGAAGCCTTGTGGTGGTGAGAGGCTGCAACGCCTCCACCCTCTCCGTAGCTCATCTGTCATGGCGGCTTAGACAGGAAATCAAAGTGCAGCAGCCCTGTCCGCTCATGCCATTGGGCCAGCGCCCACCACGATGAATGGCCTGTCAGCCGCTCTCGACGTTGCCAGTTTATTCAACGATAAATTTGGAAATGTCTGGATTTCCTCGCTGGACAACATTCCGGTTCAGTGGTGCAGTCAGAGAGCGAGGGCAACTCCTCCTTGCTTTGTCAACCACATTGCTTTGGGTTACGGGGTGTGTGTGTGTGAAGAAGAGGAGGGAATGGAGCATTTTTATCCTCATCTGTAAGCTGGGGGTGGACAGACAGTTGGCCTTTTGCGCCAACGAAACTCAAGCAACTCAAAGGCCAAGAATACATTTCAACTTCAAATTGGAACATACAAATTCCCACTTCTAACATATTGTGATCAAATGAGGCCATTTTGCATCTTAGAAGTGGCAATCCTTGAGATCTTTGAGCATAAGGTAAGCACTCATTGCTCTGGTGTTTCTGCACTTCACTTAAACTTCCAAGAGTTTGCATCGAAGGGTCACTATTTTTTCCAGTTGAAGAAGTCGCAATGTGTGAAACTGCTGTGGCATCATCTTACCTACAGCACTTTGCAACATAGTGTACACCTTAGTTTGAGGGCAATTTAAAAATAGTATGTTTGTAAAGGATGACCTGTTGCAAAAGGACAGTTCTGAGAATACTCTTTGACCGATAAGTGGCTTAAGGTATTTTAACTCAACTCTTCTATCGGCTGAGCTTGCTTGGAACCACAACTGAGGTGATGCCAAATAAATACCTGTACTATTCACAATTTTTGCTAATGGAAAACCGCGGGACTTGTCTAGCTATGTGGTACCATGAATTGGAAATGTAGCATTAGATGTATTATGTGGGCATAAATCCAAATCCAAAATGATACTAATGTGCTCGTGTCTGCTGGTTGTGTAAGGCATTTGTTTGATATTGTAATATTTGTTACAAGTTTTTAATTGCAAAGGTGATTGTCTTTTTTCAGGCTGTTCTGCCCCCAAGTGGCCAAAAAAGTGGACCTATCATGCTATATTTGAATAATATATTGTAGGGCCATACCTATACAAAACATGTCTGTGAAGTTTTTTTTTCAAAATACCAAACAGATCATGCATTTTAGCCATGCCTCATTTCGCTCTATTTGCTGTATTTCAGCCCTGTTTTTGCAAGGGCTGATTCTGTGGCAAATGAGCTGCAGCTGACCACGCCCCCCTGCAAAGGAGGGGGGCAAGGCACAAGTGTCATATTACCATGCTGTTACCATGCCACGGCAACCTCTCATTCCCCTGATAGGTGGAGAGTTGCCCATATAGGCGGAGCTCCCTGTTTCTGACGTCAGAACAATTTCAAATCTGTATCAGTTTGTATCAGCTCCGTTGCAGCCCCGTTTTTAGAGATTTGGGTATGGAGGAAAAGAGAGAGGGTTGTGTTTTCTGACACTTGGTGAGTTCCCTGGAACACCGGGGACACATATTCATGTATAAAAGACGTACAAAAGTGCATTTTGCATGATAGGTACCCTTTAAGGTACCTTTCTGGTGGTTGGTGCCGTTTTGTTTGTAGTCTCAACTATCACTTCTTATGCCAACTACCTAGCGTTTTCTCTGCTTTTTACAATAACCTAGAATTTATGAATATTACTTAATTTTCATCAAAACAGATTTTATTAAACATTGCAAATTTGATAAAAATAACAAAGTACGTTTGATGAACCAAAGAGCTGAACACTAACCTGTATGTGTGCAGAGACCAGTGCTGCGTTTACAGCCAATGTCACATGTCAGTATTAACGTGTCACTTTGATTTGTTTGAATAATTAAATCAGTGCTCCTGAACACAAATAACAATAGTGTCCTGAAGCAACGATCTATCCAGGCTTGCTGCTCTGCAGTACAAACTGTCGATGGGAATGACGGCCCACATTTTATGAGATGCTTCTACAGGCTGTGTCACTACATTTTAAAGCGAGTCACTGTGGCTCTATCAGTACAGAGGTCCATTGATGACTGACTCTCACAGTCAGTCCACTCTTTGAGATGTGGACTCTATGATGTCTTATGTCCAAATGACATTCACAAACTAGACAAATTATTCCAGATGCTATTACGTTCTTTTTTCTTTTAAAACACCTCTTGTGTGGCAGACAGTGTGTGTTCATGGGGCACCAGAATGATGAATTTAGAAAGTCTTGGTTTTCTCTTTTAACTCAGGGAGCATGGCCTATCCATCCAAGCATTAAACTAATCAAAGTAGCAGAGAGTTACTGACTTTTTGAAGTGAAAAGGATGATTTCCATTCCGGTTTTCTTCAAGGCGGCATTAAGCATGCAAAAGGAGACCGGCTTTGATTACGACCTTGGCTGTGCATTCTAAGCAAATCATCAAGGCCTGCTTCTATAGGTGGCGGAGCTGTAAAAGTATGAGCATCTTTATGGAACAAAATGAAAATAATTTTTACAGCTAAATCAATTTGACAGCACACAAAGCTCATATTTCATAGCCCCCTGAATATGAATTATTTCTAGCCTTCAGCTTTGACCTCCCTTGTGGTTGAGTGTAGTGCTCCGCTCTGTGTGTTTCTGCATTGTTATTTTCTCTGCACAAAGCTCTGGGCTTGAAACTGCTCCATCATTGGCAGAGTGCTGTAGATGATTTGAGTTATGTTCCTTCAGTCTTTTGTCCCGTTCTATTTTCTGACTCATGTCATGAACGTATTTTATGAGAGGTCTGTTCTTGAATATTAAATCCGCAATCACACATTACCGCACAGTGCTTGTGAGGTCATAATAGCCTTCTGATGCTCACTATTTTCTCTGGGTTTGCATTAAAGAAGACTCTAGGACCTAGAGGGATATGAAATGTGACGTGACCCACTGTGGCTTTACCATCCTTTCTGCATTACATTCAGCAGAGCCACTGTTTACTGTTACTGCTTTTGTGAGGCATATTGTACACTCACTCTTTATGCCTCGAGCCTGTTTTCATCCACGGCCAATTGTCTGAGTGTACTCTACATTGTAATATCTCTGCAGCCCAGACTGTGCTGCATCGCTGCAACAGAAATGTATCAGAAGCCACCTCCATCATGTCTACTGTGCAGGACCGGAACCACAGTGTCAGTCTTAGCACTGGGCGTGTGCAAGGAGAATATTTTCAGCCCTCTGCAATGTCAAACAATACAGCACTGAATGTTAGAGAGTGTTAACTGTTTTGAAAAAGACAGCAAACACCTGGAAGTCCTTCCTTTCTACTACTTTCCAGTGAGAAAGGAAGCAATCTAATCTAATCTTACACTCGGGGCCGGCCCTGACCAATTTGCCCCCCCCCCCCTCCCGCAGCCGCTTGTATCACAGTAAATTCCAATGTTCATAAAAGCACACAGAAGCTGTATACGTTTTTTGGGAGTTTGA